GGAAGGAAGGAAGGAAAGAAAGAAAGAAAGAAAGAAAGAAAGAAAGAAAGAAAGAAAGAAAGAAAGAAAGAAAGAAAGAAAGAAAGAAAGAAAGAAAGAAAGAGGAAGGACACCACCACCACCCAAAAGCTACACAGTCTCTTTTTCCTGATGGAAGCCATCTATCTGGAAGCATTCCCAGGATCTGTCCCTTTAAACCACTGAAGGTGAAGTGGGCAGCCTGTCCCTCCAAGGGGCCCAGGTGTGCCATTCAGCACCCCTTCCCTCAGCACATACCCCCAAATTTAAAAAAAAGTTTAAAAGAAGAATGTGCTCAAACATTCCCCTCTTGTCCTCTAGGAAGCATGAGAAGGCCATTTCATAACATTCCTTTTCCAGGACAAGCTTTTTTAAAAAAACTGGGAATTACCTAAAATAGCTCAGGAAACCCTCAGAAACATGGCAAAACTGCTCCTTGCTGCCAGTAGAGGGCACTAGAGGGCTTGTGTATTTTTTTAAATAAAATCAAGAAAAAAGTTTTGGGGGTGTGAGTTACGAGTGTGTACACAGTCTTTAGCATACAGGGATGGGCATCATTGGCCCATGAATCCCAGGAAACTGCCTGTCCCTGCTTTGAAAGAAATGGGGATGCTTGGGCAAGGTCCTCCGTCACCCAAGGATGTCTTTCCCATGGTTTCAGCCAAATCCTTACACTCTCCAGCCCAATATCATCCGTGGCTGGCAGCTGCTTAACTTGTTTCAAGTAGAATTCATTTCTCATCCTACCCGAAAATAATCTCTGTGTGTATCATGCACCATCAAGTCACATCTGACTTAGGGTGATCTCAAGGTGTGTGTGATGTTTAAGGCACAGTTTTTCCATTGTCACACACACTCCCAATGAGTTTCTGTGCCCAAGCAGAAATTTAAACCCAGGTCTCCTCACTGTATGATGTAAGATGCCTCCGTATTCATTATTCATAGTTTTAAATATTGTCTTTTAATGATGTTAACCACCACTGTATACTCATTGTTTTCAACTTTTAAATATTGTATTTCATTGTTACATGCTGCCTTGTGTCCTTTTCAAAGAGAACGGCAGGACAGAAAGAAAGAAAGAAAGAAAGAAAGAAAGAAAGAAAGAAAGAAAGAAAGAAAGAAAGAAAGAAAGAAAGAAAGAAAGAAAGAAAGAAAGAAAGAAAGAAAGAAAGAACCTCACAAAAAAGTTGTGGTTTGGCTTCAGCACCTAGCTTAGCACATTGTGTTGCACATAGCATGACTGAAAAAGGAATCAAAAGCCTTTTACAGAACAGGCAAATTTCACTCCTTAGGAGTCAAAAGGGAAGCCTTGGCCAAGGCCCCTTGATAGAATCAAGAATCTGACCAGGGTGATAATAAGTTTTTCATTCTCTGTCCAAGACCAGTAGACAACTTCTACATTGTCCTGTTGTTCCGTGGCTGCCATTGTACACTTTGGACTTCATTTTGCAATGACAACACTTATTATTTTATGTAGCTATTTAACTAATGTCCTTCTCCCAGGGTGGGAATCCCAGGCAGCTTGCAAGGTGCAGTATTTAAAAAATATTAACATTAAAACCCAGTGGCCAAAATTCAGTAATAAGTCACAACTAAAACAAGCCCACTGAATCAGTGAGGATTTCATGACTCAACTTCTATGTAAGTTTCACTGATTCAATGGATCTATTCTAGTTGCAACTTACCACCGGATTTTAGCTAGCAAGTTTCAAATATTACAAGCTAATTAAACCTATTATACTGTTAAAGTGCAATTAAAATTTAAAAAAACAGCTTAAATCATCTCAATTAAAAGACTAATAATATTTTACTTTCAAAACAAAAGAAATAGAAGAAGATTGGCATATCCAGGTGGAACTCTGTCCTCAGCAGTTTGACAGTTGCTGCAGGCCTGCCTGGAATAAAAAGCTTTGCCTGCCAGCCAAATGACAAGAGGGAGAGGGCCATTCATTTCTAACCTCCCTGACATATGCAAGAGACATCTCTGTTTGAGCTTTCTCCTGTCCTATGTCCTTTGCCCATCAAAGTGCAGGCTGTTACCATTTCCTGTCATGTGGACCCACAAAAACACTTTTACTGCAGCAGCTGCTGCCCTGAAACAAGGTGTGTTAGGTTTAACACATGCTATTGATTTGCACACTCATGCAGTTATTGCACATAATTATCACATGCAGGTGAACTGCACATCTGCAGTGATGGAGTCTCAGTGTTTTATGGTGAATACCTTGTATATAGATGACACCACTCTGATGGCAGAAAGTGAGGAGGAATTAAAGAACCTTGTAATGAAGGTGAAAGAGGAGAGTGCAAAAAAGGGTCTGAAACTCAACATCAAAAAAACTAAGATCATGGCCACTGGTCCCATCACCTCTTAGGAAAAAGAAGGGGAAGATATGGAGGCAGTGATAGATTTTACTTTCATGGGCTCCATGATCACTGTCTCGATAGATCATGGAAATTAAAAGATGCCTGCTTCTTGGGAGGAAAGTGATGACAAACCTAGACAGCATCTTAAAAAGCACAGACATCACCTTGCCAACAAAAGTCCGAATAGTCAAAGCTATGTTTTTTCCTGTCGTGATGTATGGAAGTGAGAGCTGGACCATAAAGAAAGAAAGAAAGCAGACCGCCGAAGAATTGATGCCTTTGAATTGTGGTGCTAGAGGAGACTCTTGAGAATACCCTGGACTGCAAGGAGAACAAACTTATCAATTCTAAAGGAAATCAACCCTGAGTGCTCACTGGAAGGACAGATCCTGAAGCTGCGGCTCCAGTACTTTGGCCATCTGATGAGAAGAGAAGACTCCCTGGAAAAGACCCTGATGTTAGGAAAGTGTGATGGCAAGAGGAGAAGGGGACGACCAAGGATGAGATGGCTGGACAGTGTCTGTGAAGCAACCAACACGAATTTGACACAACTCCGGGAGGCAGTGGAAGATAGCAGGGCCTGGCGTGCGCTGGTCCATGGGGTCACGAAGAGTCGGACACGACTAAACGACGATGAGACTCATCCAGAGGTTTGTGATAATCTTTCAACCCTAATATTTGAATCAGACCTTAGCCAATCTCATTAATCAAAGAGCAACATCAGACCACTCCACCCACTCCAGTTCAGGAAAAGGAAATAACTGTTTGCATGGATTTCTCAAACATAATGAGATGGAAGGGGAAGTATTCAGAATGCCATTAATCAAACTTTAAGCTTAGACAATGCCTTACTGGGTCATTAAAAAGTTAAAAACAAGGCTATCTTTAGAGTTTCAGTAGAACCCTCTGTCAGGCAAAGATGATGTAAAATTTCACAGGTGCACTTGGTGAGGACACAATAGAGGGCCTTCTCTGTTGCTGTTCCCATACTTTGGAACTCCTTCCCACAGAAGACCAGGCTGGGCCCATTTTTGATGTCCTTCAGCAAGCAAGTGAAAATCTGTTGCTGTTCTCATACTTTGGAACTCCTTCCCCCAGAAGACCAGGCTGGGCCCATTGTTGTTGTCCTTCTGCAAGCAAGTGAAAACCTTTCTCTTCAGGCCAGCTTTCCCCGAGTAACTGGCAGCCTGAGTGCGGTTTTAGATGTTGTACCTTATGGCTTTGAATGAGTTTTGGTGCTGCTTATGTTTTTAGAATGATATTTGTTTGATCTCTTTTCTCTTTGCATACTCAGCATTGTTAGTGTTAAATACTGTTTTTAAATAATGTTAGCCACCTTCGATCCTTTTTAAGGAAAAAGGCAGGACACCAGAACAAGAAGGCAGCACCTCACTGACTGCAGCAAACTGTAATGTTTTACACAATCTAAAATGGAGATACACGCTAACATCAGCTACACATCAGTTCACAGAGAACTCAAAATATCAGCAAAACTATAAATTCTATTCCTGTCACAATGGTACATATCGAGATACATACATTTCTTTCTCATATCTATGCAAACATATGAAGGAAGAAAATAATGTGACATTCTTGATGTGTAAATCTAGATCTTATTCAGCAATTAGGCAGCTGGGAATTTACCTTTAA